TTCTTCCTCTGATTGATAAATTTATTTTATTTGTGTTGTGCAAGTGAAGGCATTGAAAGAGATAGAGAAAAAAATTGAAAAGAAAAATTCGGACGCACGTGCACGCGCACGCACACATTTAAATTTTATTGTCTTATATTTGTATCGTAAAAATAAATTTAAGTCAAATATTATTTTATTTTATTTATTTATTTTATTTGATATTTTTATAATATTTTAATAAATCTTTAATTTATCTTGAATAATATTCTTAATTTTGATTTTTTTTTACATAACTAAAAAATTTTAAGATAATTTTTAAAATAATTTCAAAATAAATAACTTTAGATATTTTTTAAATTTAGTCATTAATAATTAATTTTATTAAAAATTTATTTGATAATATCATAATTATATAAAATACAAGTTAGAAAAAATAATTATTTATAAGACCATCCGGGGATAAGTGATATATTTATGTTACCATGATAGGTGTAAATGAATGTTTGAAATCATGAGGTTAAATAATAAATTTTTTTTAACTACAATAGATATGAATGATACGTTTGAAATCATAAGGTATTAACTGATATACCATTAAATCACAAGAGGGTGAAAATGAAGCTTTTTTTTTTTTTTTTTTCATTTTGTGTTTGGACCAGATTTGTTAATAGGAAAGGCTTTGAGAACTATGTGGTGTGTGATTGTTCCTTCAATCACAATTCTTCTTGCCATGTTGTAAGCATGTATTGCTCTCTTCCTTTTTCTCTTTTTGTTTCCAGTCTCGTTTCTTGTTTTAACAACTCAGAAAAATCACATGGAATGATTTTCTTCAATTTTGGGTTCATTATTCTTCACTTGCATTCTGAGTCAAATCTTTTTTTACTATGAACACTTCAAGTTACCATCAAACCTTGTATTCTTTTTTGTTACATCAAAATGTTGTCTTTATTTTTCAATAAAAAAAATTTGCGTTTAGTAAAAATTGATTAATTGTTTTTTAAATAGGAAATATTGATTAATTTATGTTCAAAGAAGGATTAATCGTTTACTAATCACAATTTTATTTTTGATAGATAACAAATTTTTTTTATATGAACAAAATATATTTGGATTTCAACGGTAAAAAAGTAATTGAATTAAATTAAATATAAATTATACTTTGGTTAATTTTTTTAGATTTAAATTTGTTTGTGAGGCCTTACCAATAAAAATAAAAAAATTGTTTGTGAGGACTTCGTAATTTTGTGTACAGAAGGAGTATAAGATTTGACATTCGTAAGATTTTGTTTCTTGTTCTATTTTGTTTATTGGTTGAATATCTTGCAGTAATTATGTTAATTCTAATTTTTTATTTTTTATTTCGTATTCTATATAACAGATTAGAGGCTCAGAATCTGTCTGGTACTCTCTCACAAGAGTTTTCCGAGCTTCGTTATCTTAAACTATTGTAAGATAACCAAACCTCATCTTTGAATCTACGATCCTTTGATATTTTGATCTGTTCTGCATGATGTTCCCATATTCATATGGAATGTTGAAAACCACTAACTTTGTCTTGCTATTTCAAACAGGCACCTTAGTCATAACATCATCACAGGTTCTATACCTCAACAATGGGCTACCATGTGCTTGGTTGAGATGTAAAATCTTTATGCTATGCACCCTTTGTTTCTCTGCATTGCCTCTTAAGTTTCTTCTCTATAAGTAAAGTTAGTAAACAATTAAAAGTGACACTAAAGAGTTTGGTTTATTGAATGTGCAGCTCTTTCATGGGAAACAGATTGGCAGGGCCATTCCCCATAGTTCTAACTAATATCACAACCCTCAAAAACCTGTGAGTGGAAATCATTTCTCTATTTTCTCATAAATTGTGTTTATGGCAACACTTACTCATTGAAATTCAGTCACTCAGCATAATGATAAATCCAATGTACTTTAAAAGAAAAATGAATATATGGCATAGGTGATCTAGGATTGTCAGCTTAGCATAATTTTTAAATTATTTCTGCTGCCTTGTTTAAATAAAATATTTATGTGAATGTTACAGGAGTATTGAAGGAAATCTATTTTCAGGCTTCATTCCAACAGAGATTGAAAATTTGATCAATTTAGAAAACTGTAATTCTTTTTACCTCCTTTGTCTGCATATTGGAATCACAATATCTGCTATTATTTTCCCCTTGACATTATTCTTAGTGTTTAACATGAATAAATCATGTTTGTTTAGCATTCTATCATCAAATGCATTCAAAGGAGCATTTGCATCCGCACTTTCCAAGTTGACTGATTTGTAAGTCTTGGCTTTCTTATCAATTTAATTCATCTAATATCCGCAATAAATAAATTATTGAATCAACAAAGTTTGGCATCTTCTTGCACAAGGTTACAATCTGATAGGAATAGATGGATGAACCACAAAGATTAATCACTTGGATCCTTTTAAATATAGAATAATGAGCTTGTAAATACAAGTCACTGCAGGGTTCTAAATTAATTCCTATACGAGCTACAAAACTATATATTTTCTAGCTCAATATATTACTAATGCTTTTCTGTTCCTGTTTCTTTCAAATTTTGACATTTCTTGCACGCTGACTAACCTTTCCAAAACACATTTTAGGAGGATAAGCGACAATAATTTCTTTGGCACAATACCCGATTTCATTAGTAACATAAGCCTCCAAATTAGTTTTTACTAATTGTATTTGTTTTATATACTGTAGTTTATTATATCAATTTTCTTCTTTTGGGTTACAGGTGCATTCATGGTTGCTCTTTTGAGGGGCCCATGCGTTTAGCATTTCTGCCTTGACAAGATTAACCGATTTGTATGCTTGTAAAACTTTATTTTATTTATTTTTTGATCACAAAAGATAGATATGTCAAGTGATTCTTTTGTTTTTTCTTTGATACTTAGGAGAATAACTGATTGCATAAGTCTATGAATCTTCTTTATGTGTGTGTGCGTGCGTGCGAAAGTGTGTGCGCGCGTGCATGTCTAAAAGATGGATATGACAATATTAACTGATTTGTATATTTGTAGAACTTTATTTTATTTATTTTTTTATCATAAAAGATGGATATGTCAAGTGATTTTTTTATTTTTCTTTGATACTTTGGAGAATAAATGACCTGAGAGTCAATAGAAGCTCTGTTTTTCCACCACTAAGTAATATGAAATCCATGAAGACACTGTGAGTTCAATGACTTAAATACTCTCTTTCTCTTTAAGTCTTTTTAAAATGATCTATATTTTTACTTGGATATCATAATGCACGATATTGAGAAAAGCTTGATTAAAGGAGAGATCCCGAAATATATTGAGAGAATGGAAAAATTGAAAATCTTATAAGTAGTTTTATTGTGGTTTAAAAATAGAAAAAAGAAAAGCAGCTAAATTATTTTATCTTTAGTCTTTATCTAGAATAGCTCTAAGTCCGTGAAATAGTTTGTAGGACAGAACAATTTATCTACCTTGATCTTATTTCTAACCAACTCAAAGTAGTTTACATAAGTCTATAAATCTTCTTTAAGTGCGTGTATGCGAACGTGTGTGCGTGCGCATGCATTTCTAAAACAGATACCTCATATGTTATGGCTCTGATTGCTTAGTGATAAGAGTTGGTATTACGGAAAAGTTAAAGAAAAGAATGGGAATAGAAGGGAAATTTTATTTATTGACAAGAAAATGAAATGAACACACGAGAGAAACTTCTCTTGACAAGGGCCCTTACTCTTAACCCAACACAATATTTGTCAAAAGCCAATAACCATCTAACAAGGGCCACTAATTAATGTTCCAACTACTTTCCTAATATAGGTCGTAACATCATATGTCTTTTCTGTATACATTAATTTTTCAAAATTGAATGATTGTTGCTCTATAGTATTGACCCATGTGTCCCTTTTGAACTTCTAAATATAGACATTGCTTACACTACCATATCACTTTCGTTTCCATAACACAGAAATTTGTGAATGCTGGAGGAAGATTATAAAGACAATTAATAAACACTACATGCACACTAAAATGTCGAATGTGCTTTTCTTTTTATCCATAAGTAGAAGATAAAATGCCATTTTTTCTTTTCAATTAACTCTTTCCTTATATAAAAACAAGTTCATTTATATATCTCCATTGCTGTAGAGATTTGAGTTTCAATGGCTTGAGTGGAGACCTGAATCTTTTAACCAACTTGACAAAGTGGATTACATGTAAGTGGATAGATTGAAAGAAATGTGTTATTGGAACATCTTATCTCATTTTCATTTTCGATAAAAAAAAAAAAATTGTTAAATAATGCAGGTATCTTACTGGGACAAGCTAACAGAGACTATACTTAGCTGGGTCCTTGCGATTAAAAAAAAATGTGCATGTTAAACTCCTTGAATAGTTATGTTTCAATTTTCAATCTTTCATCTTAATATTTGTTTCAGCGGCCACAGTGAATAAGACACCCAGAAATATTTTATGCTTATGCTTGATATGTTCTAGAGCACTTGAGAATAGAACAACTACTACTACTACAATGATCAAAAGATGTCGTTGGATACTATCATAAAATAAATTTTCAATAAATCCATTTAGAGCATTCAGTTATATTCTCTAGTAACTCCAATCTATTGATGTCTGCATAAAGTTAATATATTATATAACTGAAATTAAATAGTGACTCTTGCAATAACTTCTCCTGGGATAGCTCAAGTCCGACTGAATGTCAACGAGGGAATGTGTAAGTTTTATTTAAGCTTTGAGTTCTAGTTGTCCTCAATGAGTGTTATTTATTGGTTATAATTAAAGCTGTGAAAACGGACTAACTCAGCCCATTAGGCCTTAATCCGCATGGAGTAGGGCCAAAAAGCCCACAAATACAAAAGCTCGCACGGGCCAAAAAACCTATATAGCCCCATGGGTCGAAAAATAATCAATTCAAAAATTAATAAGTAACAACTAGTAACCCAATTAAGTGATATTGTGTCTTATTTTCCAGCTTTCAGATGTACAATTAAAAGCCCTAAACCATTTTAATATTGTTCAGATCCACATAATTCTAAAAACCAAAAACCAAAAATAACACAAGTACATAGTATTTGACTAATACTCCAAGTCTCCAACGTTTCTGTCCAATAACATCTCAATGCAATTATTACGATCACCATTTATTATCAGCTTCAACTCTGCATTAACACAAGGATTTGGAATTCATAAAAAATGGTAGCAAAACATCTTGTCAAAAAATGAGTATACATTAACAAAATTACTTGAATCATAAAATAAGTATACATCAACAAAATACTTGAATCAAGTAAACGCTCTTTCAGTTCAAAAAAAAAAAAGAGAGCATAAAAAGCAAGGTATCACTGAAAAACATCACAAATGGCTCCTATATAACAACCAAGCACATACAAGTATAAAAGATAGCTTGCACCCTATCGTATCTTGGGCAAATTATTATTAGCTAATGAGATAGCTTGTAAAATAGAATAACAACTATAGCAAGAACAAGAGCTCCAATCACAGTTCAAACGATCCATTTGTTTCTAGTTATTCTTCGTGACATGCTCCTTAAAATCTTACTCTTGCCGATAGCATCATCTACCACATGAAGCTGCAAGTCAGAGAAAAAAAATGACCATCAACCAACAATTATCACAGCTTCAACTCTGCATACTATACTCACAATTACAACATATAACCACAAATCAGTTGCAACCAACCAATCTATATCACAAAAGCTTGCACACTAGAAAACTTCCACACAAAAAACTTCAAGCCATTTTTACTCCATATTTTCTGAACCTGCAACATCAAAATCTTCCAAAAAAAAAAAAAACAAGAGATTTATCTGAAAGTATCTATTCATCATCAAACAACTAAACTCAACCTACGCAGAATCAATATATCTAAACTATTAATTCTAGCTAGCCACTAACATAAATACCTCTCTAATCTTCAATTTGAACTTCTTGATGCACATTGGATTCTGATGTTATTGTTTCACGATCACTAGTATCATCTTCATCTAAAACTCATAACCAATTGAAACAAAACTACTCAATTAAACGATCAATTGAAACAAAACTCATAACCCTCAATTTAGGACCACACATTAGCACTGGTTTCACTCCCTAGTTGAGGAATTATGCAGTTGCCTCCACTGCTGCCTTCAACCCGATTGATTACTCTATCTGCAAAACACCCAAAAGAAACAAAAATAGAAAAAGACTAATCATCAGCCTTTCCAATAATTGGAATGCAAATGTTAGAATATCTAGATGATATCATATAAAATCAAAATTATATCTTAATATAAGTTAGATTATCCTAAGATTAGTTTTCCTATCTCCTTACATTCCATGATTTGTTTCCTTTTAAGATTCCCCTGTTTAGTATGAATAAGATTAGTGATATGACTTTTGCAATAAAATCAGTAACTTCATAACACATCAATATACAATATAATTAAGCCTTCGCCTTTTTCCTGCATCTATGACTAAATCCCTATAATTTCAACAGCAATTAACAATAACTCGAGAGAGAAAAAAAAGGACTTACTTGGGAGACAATGAAAAAGAAAAGGCTCACGACTGAAATTGGGTGAGGAATCCTAGACAAGTCACAACTAATGCTTATACAAACAGGCTTTCTCTCTTTCAGTGAGGTTGAAATTATGGTATCAATGAGCTCATGAGCACCTTCCAAGTTATTCACCACAGCCTATCATCAAACCAGCCAATCACCAAAACCATGTTAATACAACTCATCAAGTACACATTCAACATCAAACAAAAAAGAAAAACTTCACACAACACAAGCAGAGAAATCCATCATTTCTAATATCAATAAAACAGCAACAAACTGATACAGCCCCAACAGCATTGGTATATCGACAGGACAAGAATAGAAACAATTGGGCTTCACTAATGGACCCAACGAAGGTTAACCGTTGATGACATGACCGAGTCCTCTCAAGGGTGCTGGACATTCAGAATGTTAACGTTACTACCCTCCAACAGAATGCAGGCGTGGAATAGACAAGTTGGTTACGTTCGTTCGTTAAGAGGAGTGGAGAGGGGAAAGGAAGGGCATTCAGGCAGTTAGACTTACTTGGGCCCTTTGGGGATTGGGAGAGAGTGGAACCTCTCATATGTGTTCCACACTATCGTTACATTTCCAGTTGTTATTTCCATTGAAGGTCATTATAATAGATTATATTTCTGCAAATACTTCTTGTATCCTTGTTACTGTGAAGTGAATACAAGAATCCTGAATTTCCAGTTATAATCCTTGAGTATTAGTTGCTCTTTCTGTTTTGTTCTGAATTGGTACCTATCAATTGGTATCAGAGCTCCGATCTAGGAGCTCTGTGGTATGGTTTGGACTAGACAAATGGAACAACGGATGGAGACGATTGAACAGGGGCTACGCAGAGGAAGCGCTCGACACGAAGAATTAATGTTGAGGTTAGATGCAAGTGAGGCTCGGCACACAGAAATGATGATGAGATTAGAAGGGAACGAACGGAGTATGGTGGAGATTCTCCGGAGGTTAGAGGATTTGGCTGAACGAAGACGAAGTCCTTCGAGGGGAGAAGAGAACAATTGGGACAGCGAGGAAACTGAAACCAGAGAGGAAGGGAATCACAGAAGGGGAAATTTGAATTTCCCAGTAACTCGACGGTTGGAAATCCCTGTGTTTTCAGGAAAGGATGCTGCTGGATGGCTGAGCAAGGTGGAGAGGTGTTTCACGGTGAACAGGGTGATAGAGGGGGAGAAGCTCGGAGCGGTGTTGGTGTGTTTAGAGGGTGAGGCACTTCATTGGTGTCAATGGTGGGAGGTGGGAAACCCAAACGCTAATTGGGCGATTTTCCGGCGAGAATTACTCAGTAGATTCCAACCCGAAGCTTTGGACAACCCATATGGGGCTTTATATACCCTTAAACAGACTGGGAGTGTGGTCGAATTTCGAAAGGAGTTCGAGAAAATGGTTGGAGCGTTACGATTTGAAGATGAGGAATTACTCAAAGGTGCGTGGCTTAATGGGGTACGGGTCAGTATCCGGGAGGAGCTTCTGATGTATCCAAATCTCAGTCTGCCGAAGATGATGAAATTTTCACTGAAGATTGAAAGGAGGAACGTTGCTTGGAAAGAAGAAGGGGCCAATGTCTAGAGGCTGGGCTTCGGGTTCCCAACGCTCTTTGGGTTCTCGAACGTTCTCAGGCCCAAATGAAACAAAGGGGTGGGGTAACCAGCAAATGGGCCAAATAAATGCACAAGGCCCAAACCATAACAACATTTGGAATGGGGGTAGCCCTAATGTGGCTCAGGGAATGACGAAGGGTGGAACCAACGAGAACATTCGAGAAGGAGTCGCGGCGAAACCTTCTGGGTCAACGGCGAGCAATCCGACGGCGGAGAGCTCCGCGGGTCCGGGACGACGGCTTTCTCAGTCAGAATGGCGTGAGAGACACGAACGGGGTTTGTGTTTTAAATGCAACGAACGGTGGAATCCAAATCACCGTTGTCAAGTGCGTCAGCTACACCTCTTACTGGTGGAAGACGATGAAGCCGAGGAAGATGGTGAGAAGGAAGGAAACCAGGAGGCGACCACTGATGTATCCACGCCAGAAACAGGGCAGGAGCTACAACTCTCTATGAATAGTTTGTTTGTTAGGGCTCACTTCAAACCAAACGTTGAAAGCTTGGGGAGAAATTTCGGGCCAAAAGGTGGAGGTGATGGTGGATTGTGGGCTTCCACCAACTTTGTGAAATCCGAGGTTATGGAGCAGCTCGGTTTAACCGTGACTGACCTCGAGTTACCAAGTGGTGGTAGGAGACAGACACAAAGTACAGTGTCAAGGTGTGTGCAAGGATGTGCCTCTGAAGTTACAGGGGGTTCAAATCAAACAAGATTTGTATTTGTTTGAATTGGGTGGGGCAAACGTGGTGTTGGGGCTCGAATGGTTGACCCAGGGGACATCAGGGCTAATTTCAAGGAGATGACTCTCCGGTTTCGGCAAGGGAATGAGGAGGTGTTAATTAAAGGGGATCCAGCTTTGTCCCGAGCAAAAGTTTCGTCCAAATCCATCATGAAAACGCTGCACGAGCAAGGCCAAGGGGGTACTTCCTGAGTAGTCGAAGGCAACCAGAGGAGGAGGAGGGCAGAAGCTGGGAAGGGCTGGAGTCTTTACTGATGGAGTTCCAGGATGTTTTCCAACAAGCCCAGGGATTGCCTCTAAAGAAGAGCTGCGACTATAATAGCCCATATTAATTAATTAGGAAATCAAGTGTAATTAATTAATTAAACATGTTTTACTGGGTGAAATTAAGTATGAGGCTTAATAAAATGAATCTGAGTCACTTTGGAGTTAAAAAGTGTACTCAGTGAAAATTAAGGGGTATAAATGGGTACTGTCAAAAGTACCCAAAATATAAAAATAAAAATAGTAATATTCCTAGAATAATATTCCAGACTTTTGGGTAAAGTTTGGTAATTATTGGAGTTAAATAGATAGACGAACCAATACCCGCTTAGAGCCACTTAACCTATGTTAAGTGACTTAAGTCACCAAGTGACCCCCATTTCCCACCCAATTCCCGTCGCCAGAAAACAGAGAGAAGGAGAAGAAGAAGGAGAAAGGAGGGAGAAGGAAGGGAGGAATAGAGAAAGAGAGGAAACCTTAACCGATTTGAGTGATTCAAAAGCCTAAATTGCTTAGAATCTTCCCCTCTTTCATAATCCTAGCTTTGTTTTGAGTGGGGAGCATTGTGGAGAGAGATATTACCTCTCAAAAATTCGGCCCTTTGGTGAAAATTGGGGTTTTGAGAGTTTCTACCTCCATTGAAGCTTGAGGAGCCATCAATCCTTGGTTGTGTGACCATTGGTGGTAAGATTCTAACCCTTGAACCTCATGATTCCTTGAAATTTGCATGAGTTAGGGTTTGTGAATAGTAAATTGGGATTTTTATGAAATATGGTTGAATTAGCTATGTTCTAGGAAGAATGGAGCTTAGAGCATGTTATGGAAAATGCTAGGAATGTCATTTAACCGGTGGAAATGAGCCTAGATAGTCATTTGATAATTGTTCATAATATTGGAAAATTCATGCTTGGATTGGTTAGTATTCTAGCATGTTGAACAATTAGTGAGTTGAATGATTGATTGGATCCTTGTGATGTCTAGGATTGAGACATTTGGACCAACCGTGAGTGATCAACCATTGGAGCAAGCTATGGAGCTTGAATAGCTCATTGGAATTGGTAAGCTCATACTTGTGTGGTGCTTTGAATTGAGTAATTGATGGTTGATTGTGAAATACTCTTGGATGCAATGTGTTGATTGCATTACACCATGTGTAGGTGTATGTTTGTAAAAGTTGATTGCTGAAACTGTTGGTGAAGAACAAAGGTTGACTGAAGCATTGACTGTTCTACCAAGCCCTGAAAGGGTGGAGGTTGTGATTGTGTATATAAATGCAATAAAATAGTGTAATGCTTTGTTATACGTATGTGTATGCATTTGGTGTGGCATAGGATGGTGTTTCCCTATGTGGGTATGTTGCATGACGATGCGTAAATCATACATGGTAGTTAGCTGGCCAGTAGGACTATTTGCATCTGAGTTTCCTTAGGACAGCTTGAGAGCTCGAGGGATTTCTCCTGGAGATGTATTGCACTTTGCATAGATATGTATTTACTGCATTATTATTGTTATTGCTATTACACTGATATGGAACTGTGGGGTGGAGAGATGCTCCAAGGACCCCTGGTTTACTGGATATATTCGTATATCTCACCCCGTGTTGTGGGGACCCCCTTTCAGGTAAGGATGCTGCAGGAGCCTCTGGTGGCAAGTGGCCATACCTAGATTATGCATGAAATATGGCACTTCTTTGAGTTTATGCATGCCTTTTGTAGTTGACATGTATAGGTAGTGTTTTGTAAGCTAAGTTCTATGATTTGTAAAGGATATGTAATGTAAATGATGCCTACTTGGAATTCAATATATGCATGCTTGTTATGTATTGAGTTGTTGAATTGGTTGGGCTGAAAATCAATTAGGTACCCTCTTCGTTTAAACTGGTAAACGATGAGAAAACAAAGGTCATGCTGCCCAAATTCTAGCTAAATCTCATGAGGAGAGGTTGGATGAGTGCTAGGATTTAGTTTTGGGGCATGGACATTTGTGGTTTGTAATGGGGATGCATTTTCCCCTAGGCTTGGACTTGAGAAATGTGGGAATTGGAATTCCCTGGCAGCGCGCTTAAGCGCCCAGGAGCGCGCCCAAGCGCCCTGCTGCCCCTGCGAGTGCCAATGCATTCTGCCTCCTCGCGCTGGAGCGCCCAAGTGGGGGCTTAAGCGCCCAGGATTGCGCGCTGGAGCGCCCTGGCGTGCGCTTAAGCGCCCCTTGCTGCAGAAAGTTGGGTGGCTTACTGCCCCCTCGTGTTTTAGCGCCCAGGGTGGGGCTTAAGCGCCCAGGGTTGCGCGCTTGAGCGCCCTGGTCCGCGCTTAAGCGCCCTTCGCCACTGAAGGAGGAGATGCTTCTGTCTCTGCGCGCTAAAACGTCCCCGTGGGAGCTTGAGCGCCCAGGATAGCGCGCCTGAGCGCCCTGTTGCGCGCTTAAGCGCCCATCCACACTGGAATGCCTGATGCTTACTGCCTCCGTGCGCTTAAGCGCCCAGATGGAGGCTTTAGCGCCCGATAGCGCGCGCTT